GCGCTGCCGCGGCGGGAGCGGGGCGGTGGGCCGGGGCCGGGAGCGGGGCTGCCGCGGTGCGTCCGGTCGGGGGACAGTGCTGCTGAGGCTCCGTTACTGCGGGGCGAGCGCGGGGACCTCTCTGCGGGGCTCGGCGGGGGCTGGGGACGAGCGGGGCTGCGGCGGTCACTGCCGAGCGCTGGCGCGGGCATTTCCCTGTGAGCCGTTCCCCCTGCAGCAGCCCCCGCCTGTCCGCCCGCATCCGGTGCTCCCTCGCGGCGAGGGCCGTCGGTCGGGAGGTGCGCTCTTCCCCTCCGGCCGCAGCCGCTGTCCTCTCCCGCAGGTGGATGGGGATCCTGGCGCTTTACACGGTCCACAAGGGGCAGTTCAGCTGTCCCGGGGGAGGATTACTGCACAGCTATCTGCTTGTGCTCCTCGTTCTCCTGGCCTCGATAATATGTGCGTTATCTGCTCTCGTGTATGTCAGCATGCAAGGTAAATAGTCGATGTTTTGTATTTACTGTGAAGTTGCTTTAATTAATATTATTAATTATAATATATATGGTTTTCAACTTGGCGTTGGCATTAAAAATAACCAAACAAACCAACAATGCAAAAAAAAAATATCAAGTGCTTTAATGGTAGTCAAACTTGAGAAAGCGTCTGTCAGCATTAATGTATTTGCTTTAATAGTATTACCTCTTAGCCAGAAATCTAAAATAATAAATGGACACAGTAGCTTAGTGCAGCTAACGGCGATACGTTCATTGCCATCAAAACACCTCCACAGCTTCCTCTTCATTCACTCTTAATACCTGACCTCGAATGGAACACTGCTCAACGTTTCTGACAGGAATTTAGGGGAGTTTATCCAAAATCAGTTTCTCATCTGAAGCTTCATATTAGCTTTGTCTTGTGTAGGCAAATTCAGTCGTATCTTGCAAAAGTTTATTAGCTGCAGTGGGTTGCTTGGGAAAAAACCAAACACATAGGAACTTAACCATATAAATGTCATAGCCATTGATTGGCTAAACAGAAGTAAGGACCCCAATGCAACTTCTAGTCAGAAATGCTTCATTTGGGGTTAAAAAATGCTAGGAAAGCTTTTTTCTTCATGGGACACCTTATTATCAAAGTAATGCTAGAAAGATTAGTTGGAAATACATGTGTGGTCTCTGAGTAATAGATGAGACCCTACAATTTGTAATATATTGGTTCTCTCAACACCGTGTAAATAGAAAAGTAATTAAATGACTTAAATGGAAAGAAGCATAAAGAGTGCATGAAGAGAAAGTATCGATGTGGATGATAATCCTGGCCTTGAATCCAACCACTGTTTTTTCTACAATTTCCAGAGGAGGCAAAGGAAGATAAGCCAAATTATGCTGTTTATATCAAAGTTGAGGAGGTGAGAGATATAACTGTAAATAGCGGAGAGAAAAGAGCCTTGTTGGGTATAAAAGTGCAGCTACAAGGCCATTATAATTGAGAAATGGAAGGATTCTGAGGCTGAATTTCCGAGGAAATGAATGGTGAGAGGTCTTGGACTGTGGTTATAAAATGTGGGTTTGGAGCAGTGGTTCTTGCACTGTGCTGATGAGGGTGTTAGTGAAGCCAGTGGCAAACCCGCCCGGAGAGCTCAGGCACGGGGTTGTGGTGCTGGGAAAGGGAAGCAGTACTTTTCAGGAAGCACAGTTCCATCTGGTTGTGTCTGTGCGAGCTGCTGCGCAGGCTGCAACCCCGCAGTGGGAATAAGCAACCTCTGGATCAAGGGCTTTTTAAACAGCTCTGTCACTGGATGTGAACCACAGCTTTACAATTGCAAAATTGTTTCCAAAGTTGTTTTTGTTCTGTGGTGTTTTAAGCCTTTACAAATTATCCTGCCCCACCACCTCATTACCCTGCGATCAACAAACTGGTTTAAGTACCTGAGCTGGCCAAAAATTGCTCCCCTGTTTTATTGCCTCAGAGTGCTAAAAGGAAGAGGTTATTAATAAGGTAACGATACAGAAAATAGTCTGAGAAGTATTTGTCCTGATAAGGATCCTACCTTTGTTCTAAAACTGTGAATGAATTTATTTAGTGACTCAGTATACAGAACTTCAGTGTAGCCCAGCAAAGTGGCTTCTAAAAGGGAAATATTCAGCCAACTAAAAGCTACATAGATTAGCAGCCAGCGCAGGCACCACGTGTCAGGAGGAGCTGTAGGGGAGCAGCACTCCGGCGCGGCGCTTTGGCTTATGCCGGGTGAGCTCTGCTCCCCAAGTGAGCTGCAGGCTGCCCTGACTGGAGAGGGGAGATTCTGAGAATCACAGCTTGAAACCCGTTGGGGTTTTTCTTTTCTCAGCTTCAGTGACAGCTTTCCATTAGCGTGAAAACACTTTACAGTTTCAATTAAGTTTCTTACTTTCTGTAGAGCTCAGAAAGTTCATGTATCTGGGTTGGATTTTATGTGCTTAAGATGCATTCATAAACAGTTCTTGTTCTAAATCTGCCCTGTAATTTCAGGAACCATTTCTAATCCAGGCCCAAGAAAATCACTTCCCAAACTACTTTATACTCGCCTGCTTCTCTATTTGCCTGAATTCATCTGGGCTGTGGTAGGAGCTGTATGGGTGTCAGACAGCAGCGTGCGCTGCGAAAAGACTGTGATAAACGTCATCATTGGGACAGTTATTGCAAGGTAAAGGTGCCTCCCCCCACATCTAAGCTTGATAGCGTACTGGAATGGGAACTACTGTTTACATGGGTTTTGTATGTGTTTATTGAAGACTTTTCCAGCAGTTGGAGGCTTTGATATTTCTTATAAATTATGCTGGTTTCTCACAGAAGGGTTTTCATTATGTACGTAGATTTTTTAAATCTTGACAGCCAGAATGTGTTCGTATCTTTCCCTAAAAAAACTTGAGCTACTCGCCTTGAGAGAATATGTGCCAGAGTGAAGGAAAGGATGTGAAGATCAGAAAGAGGAATAGATGGTAATGTAGAAAACTGGATAAATGTGGAGAGGGTAGTATCTAGATCACTTAACTGGTAGTGAAAAATGGAGCCTTCACACCTCTGGGTTGATATTTCCGAAGCACAGGGCTGCAATGCTGAGTCTGTGCCCCCTGTGAAATGAGCTGACAGCCCTGTTCTTGTGCCCAGGGGACTGAAAGCACCTTAAGACAGTAACAGATGGTGTTCATACAGTATTTCGTACCTTTGTTTTCTGTCTGTCAAGATCTGTGGTTGTGTTTTCTTGCATACTTGTCAGAAGTATTTGGTTTTACGGTCCTTTTATCCCACTTCCTTCTGTTTTGCAGTTGGGTTATCATCATCTTTACCATCATTGGAGTTGTAATTGTCTTTGATCCACTTGGGGGCAAAAAGACGTTTTACCTCACCGATAGTGTCAATCGGAACCTGGAAAGCAGTCAGTCGGGGCAGTTGCTGTATAATGTGAAGAACACTGCCACCAGAGTCTGGGAAAAAAGGATCCGGTTGCTCTGTTGTTGTATTGTGCAAGATGACGACCATCGAGTGGCTTTCACAAGCATCGCAGAGCTTTTCCGCAACTATTTTTCAGTAAGATGGAAAGCTTTTTTTGTGTTCTGTTCTGACTAACTCTGAATTTACAGATGTTGCAACACACACGTACCTTTGTTCAGCCAGAGCTCCCCGGTACCCTGTGCCTGGAAACCAGGTTCTGAATATGCCAATTTCAAAGTTAAAGGTGATCCTCATACAAGGTCTACAACGCTGATTTTTCTCTCCCTTTACCAAAGGTTTCTCTCGTTTCACAAGTGTGAAGGGTGTGAGAAAACAGTATTCTTTCTCCCTAAGTATCTAGTAAGGAGAACATGGGTGGGTTTCTTTTCCTCAATATGTCAGGATCCAGACATTTTTCGTGCTGCTGATGAGTAAGGAGTTGTACCCAGAGCAAAGAGTCTGACCCCTTTCTGACTATAACAGCTGAGTCCCACAGTATGTTCAGCAGTTCTTCTGTCCTGAGCCACTTGTGAGCACGAACCAGGCCAGAGCGTGCACAGGTGGGAGGCTGGTTTTTGGAAACAAAGAGCATCTGCCAAATTGGAGTCTGCATAGGGTTGATGTAGCTCAAATGTACGTCACCTGTTCCTTGGGTAGTTGTAGTTCAGTGTTGACTCTGGAATCTGTTCATGATTTCAAACCTAGTAGTTATTGATGAAGCAGCCTTTGGGCATGCTGATGTGTAGCTGCAGCCTGTGTGGTGGTTTGTAGGGCAAAGGGTGTCAGTCAAGGGGAGAGATGACTGCCCCAGAGAGCTGAATAAACACCCTCCAGCCTTCTCCTCTGTAAAATCCTTCTTAGTTGTTTCCAGTGTAAAGGACTTTTCACATAGCGGTGTAGAGCGGTGACCAGTAACATCTGGATCATTATTTGCGACGGCCGACGGTACTGTGTGGCTGATGCTCTATTGGGTCTTCTGTCAAGTGGTGAAATTCATGTGTAGAATTGTCATTGGTCTTCTTGAAGAAAACACTCTCTATGTACAGAAGGGGAGGGAGGTTAGATGCTACTGTGACCTGTTTATGAAACACGCGTTGTCTCCGAGTGAAATGTATTAATATAAACTGAAAAAATATAATTCCGTGTGCATTGTCATATGAGATAATTTTGCCACGTTGAGACGCAGAATGGTTTAAGTGCTCTTTCATTTCTTTGTACAGGACACTGATCTGGTGCCAAGTGACATAGCAGCTGGTTTGACTCTGCTCCATCAGGAGCAAGATAAAATGGAAAGCTGCCCGAAAGAGCCTGAAGAAGTCCTGTGTCATTCTCCATCATCTCTTGTGGTAAGATGGGATTGTTGCAGCCTCTGGTGCAATCCCTCTAGGAGGTTCCAGATCACTCTAGGAGGTGCCAGATCAAATTGAAATGCAGTTCTTTGTGCAAGGCTGTTTTGGTTTTGGTTTTTTTTTTAACAAAATTAAAGTCTATTATAAAAAATCACAACAGTTTAAATTATTAATAAATGCAGTGAAAACATCTTGATGCGTTTTCAGTCAAAACATTTGTCTGCTTTTGCATAAGTAGAACATACATGAATGAGGAATTAGGTGCAAAAAGGAACTATTTAGGACATTTGAACATTGTTGAAGAGCTGTGAGAGAAAGATAACAGAGAAAATTAATATTTAGTACTGTTTGCATAGAACTGAAAAGCTAGTATTGTTGTCTGTTTAAATTATGTCTGCTGCAAATATCCAGATAAGGTAAGAAGCAAAAATAGTGTCTTTTAATTGCTTGCAGATGACGGGTTACAGTTTGCTAATTGATTTTTGATAGTATTCTATGGTAAAATGCCTTTGTAAATTATTTTACCTTTTTTTGGTGTTTCATGGAAGTATATAAATGCATTCAACCAATGCATTTCTATCAGCTTCCTTTTGGGTCCAACCAATATGATGGGGTCAGGCTTTAAAAGTCTTTACCAGAGAGATCTGCTACAGACTCTGCAGTTGATCCTTTGGTGTCCTTAAGTAACATATTTGAGTGACTGTTGCTTTGGGTATGGAGCTAATCAGTGTAGAAGTATCTGGAATATGAGTGGCTATTTTTAGTTCCTTTTAGACCTCGAGACTTTCCTTTTGGATAGTGCGTATTTCATTGTGCTTTGGTTTTCACTAGTCTGTGTTCAGGTTTTATTCTGGGGCTGCCTAACACACCTTTCTTCCTCTGTCTCCTTCCTTTTCTTTCCCTGTGTCCTTTCAGACAGATGATTTGGACGTTGAACTGGAGAATGCTGCTCACTACATGCTGTTTGCTGCAGCTGCTTATGGCTGGCCCTACTACATCTACACCAACCCATTTACCGCTCTCTGTAAGCTCAATGGTGACTGGTAGGTTTGATCAAGAGCTTAAAAACACGTAACTTCCTTTTGTTACTCCAGTGTCTTTTCACCCTCAGAAACAGATTAGCTTTTCCTTAAGACATGTTTGTGATTGAGATAAATAAAATTAATTTAGCAAAATCACAAAGGAAGAATTGGAATGAAACCAAACATGTTTTAAAATGAGGCTTTTTAGAGCTGCCTTTTGGGCACATATGTATGTATAGAAATAAAAGTGTATCAATAGTTTTCCCTATCTTAAAGGAATTAGCAAGAGTTACCTGTCCCTCCAGCCTCCATTTTATTCCCTTTGCCCACTTTACTCAAAAAGATGTTTACAGTCAGTATGGAAGTGCAGCATTACTGTGTCCACTGTGTAGAATTACTGTATATTTATGTGACCTCTAACATTTGTGATTGTAATCATGATTAACTTAATTAGTAACATGAAATATAAATATAACTTAGTGTAATATAAACTACTTGGAAAAAAATTATTGCATAACACAACGGATGAAATATGAGGTAAGCCTGCTGTGCAGAATTTGGTTTCAGTTTCCTTTTTGCTTGTTTGTATTTTTTGTCATTGGCCTGTAGCCTTAAGAATTCCTTTCTTATTGCATTGTTTGCTCTGCTGATAGTCCTGTAGCACTGGTAGTTCAAGCACTGGCCAGTCCTTGAACTGGAAATGCCTGGCGTGCTGCTCAGGAAAAAACGGTTTGTGGGCAGAGGTAACGTCTTCGTCAGACTACTGACACTGCTGCAAAGAAAAGAAAGAGCTTTTCATTCCTGGCAGAAATCCTTCTGCAAATGTAGCTGAGTTTGATTCCTTAAAAGGACACCTAAAAAATTGGAATATGAAAGTTTTTCTCTTCTGTGGTTGTTAGTTGCAGAAATAGACCAACGGATTCTGATATAACCGGCAGTGATCGTCACAACTTTCACTTTGGATCCATCCTGAAAATAACAGGGCTGCAGTACAGAGACTTCATTCACATCAGTTTTCATAACAAGGTAAACAATCTGGGCAAGTATTCAGCAAAAATACTTAGTGATTAATTCAGTGAAAGCAAGGGGTGAAGTTTCTAGTTTGCCTTCAGCATTTATAAAGTGCAAGATGCAAAGCCAAGTGAAAACAGGCCCTGAAATATTCAGTTCTGATTTTTTTTTTCTAATCTAAGGGAACAGCCACAAAAACCGTAGAGATAAACTTGTCTCAGTATTGCAGAAAAGGCACTTACAGTAACTTGATAAGAAAATACTTCAGTTTCTTTCCATAGTACAATAGAGAGCTCAATAAGAGAGCTTTCAGAAGGTGAGAACAAATGCTTACTTTTTATAAAAAGTTGATGTCTTTACTGATTATGTTTTTCCCCTCCAGATCTATGAGATTCCATTTTTCGTTGCTTTGGATCACAAAAAAGAAGCCATCGTTGTTGCAGTGAGAGGAACCTTGTCTTTCGAGGTATCATCCATCTGATATAAATAATTAGCTTTGTAGAAATGTGTGAACTCTAGTATCTAGAGGAAATTGTGTTACGCTGGCACGTATAAAAGTAACTCGCTGACAGGTATGAGTCTTTCAGACTTGAGTTGTAGCCCTTGGGTGGGTGGTGCTCCCTGTGCCAGTGGAGAGGAGTGTGGGGGGTGGGCAGTGGTAATCCCTCCTCACTGTGATGTGTGTGTGGAGGGGTGCAGCTTGGAAACAGTTGCTGAAATCAGAATTATGATTGGTCTGTGTATTTGCCCGGGTGGTGGTTAATAGTGGGTTGTTCCTTACACACTGGAAAGGCAGCTCGTTGATGTCCTGTGATGATGTTGAGCAGCAGAGCACGAGCCATGAGGCCCCGCAGAGAGGTGTGACCAGAGCTGTCTTGTTTACAGGACATTCTCACGGACCTGTCAGCAGATTGCGAAGACCTGACACTGGAGGATGTTTTGGAGAATGGCTTTGTGCATAAGGTGTGTGCATTCTATGGCTGTTATTAAACCATCTGAGCAGTGAGAAACATGTAAACACCTGGGATGCCTTAGTTAAACAGAAGGTTATTCTCCTTGTGAGATGGATTCACGGATTTGACAGACTTGGAAGGGACCTCTAGAGATCATCTAGTCCAACTCCCCTGCTAAGCAGGATTGCCTAGAGCACATCACTTAGGACTGCATCAAGGCAGGTCTTGAAAATCTCCAGAGAAGGGGAGTCCACGACCTCTTGGCAGCCTGTTCCAGGGCTCTGTCACCCTCACCGTAAAGAAGTTCTTCCTCATATTTGAGTGGAACTTCCCATGTTCCATCTTATGCCCAGTGCCCCTCGTCCTATCGCTGGAAACCACTGAAAAGAGTCCGGCTCCATCGTCCTTCCACCCACCCTTTAGAAACTTGTAAACATAGATGAGGTCTCCCCTCAGTCTTCTCGAGGCTAAAGAGCCCCAGCTCTTTGAGCCTTTCTTCGTAAGGGAGATGCTCCAATCCCTTAGTCATCTTGGTTGCCCTATGTTGCACTCTCTCCAGCAGTTCCCTGTCTCTCTTGAACTGGGGAGCCCAGAACTGGACACAGGATTCCAGTTGTGCCCTCACCAGTGCAGAGCAGAGGGGGAGAATGACCTCTCTCAGCCTGCTGGCCACACTTCTCCCTGTGCAGCCCAGGATTCCATTGGCCCTCTTGGAGACAAGGGCACACTGCTGGCTCATGGAGATCCTGCCATCCACCAGGACTCCCAGATCCTTTTCCTCAGCAGTAGTTCCCAGAAGATTCATCCCTAACCTGTATTTGTGCCTGGGGTTCTGCCTCCCCAGGTGCAGGACCTTACATTTCCCCATGTTGAACCTCATCAGGTTCTTCTCTGCCCAGCTCTCCAGCCTGTCCAGGTCACGCTGGATGGCAGCACAGCCCTCTGGAGTGTCAGCCAGCCCTCCCAGTTTGGTATCATCAGCAAACTTGCTGAGGATACGCTCTGTCCCCTCGTCCAGGTCATTGATGAAGATGTTGAACAGGACTGGGCTGAGTATTGACCCCTGGGGGACACCGCTGGTTACAGGCCTCCAACTTGACCCTTCTCCATTAATGACAACCCTCTGAGTTGCACAAATCATTTCAGTGACTTGGTCGTTGCATCAAATGCTGCCTCGGGTACTGCAAGGCAGAATTTGTAATCCTCTTGTCAGACTTTATGTCCTTACTAAATACTCCAAAAACTTTTTAACCATTACATACAAGACCACTTGGTTATAGACTTCTGTCAGGAGCATCTTAAAAGAGAAGACCAGCTTTGTAAAAAGGAAGTTGTTCTGTAATGGCAATTTCTTTAAAGTATACACGTATCACACTTCAGACTAGATATACCCGTCTCTTCTAACTGTAAATGCTGTCTTGTAGGGAATAACTCAAGCTGCAAACTACATCTATCGAAAGCTAATAAATGATGGAATTTTAAACCAGGCTTTCACAATCGCTCCAGTAAGTTATCTTCCAAATAATTTGTTTGCCAGCAAAAATTGTGCAAAGCTTTTTCTGTGTGAAGGTATTTTGATTTTCTCTTTCTATCTACAGGAATATAAACTTGTGATAGTTGGCCACAGTTTGGGTGGTGGAACAGCGTCTATATTGTCAATCATGCTCAGGAACTCTTTCCCAACATTAAGATGTTACGCTTTTTCTCCTCCAGGAGGACTTTTAAGGTAAATATGAGACTTCTGTTATTTGGTTCTGTGTCTATGATGTAAAAACGTTCAGGGTAGTTGACAAATACATTAGGTGGTAACTATGGGCTTGACTGTTAAGAGTTTGCTTATATATTCTCCACTAGAAATAAATTTGCTCCATCTCAAGTTACAGTCGAGTTCTTGGGGGAATATTACAAAATTAAATATATCTAGTGAATTCTGTCAGATAATATAGTCTGAGTTTTGGAATAAAATGCTCCACTGACTAGCTTGGCCTGTTTGACACCTACACCTACTGTTACAATCAGCATTGAAATTACTCTGTCATCTGTAGCAGGTGGGTCTGAAATCCTTGTGAAGAACTGACTGCAAACGCTGCTGCCGCCACATATTTGTATTTTGATTGAATGATAACAATTGCCATAAAACTCAAGTGTGCTTGTCTCTTTCGTGTATCTAAAGGGCGTCTTTTTTTTTTTCTTAAGCAAATCCCTTGCAGATTACACCAAGCACTTCATTGTTTCAGTCATTGTTGGAAAGGACCTTGTTGCAAGGTGAGAGGGAAATATTTTTAAAGATGAGTTAGATGGCAGAGAATGGGAGGCTTTTATTTACTTTGTTCTATGTGTTCAAACAGGTTGAGTATGCCCAACATGGAGGATTTAAAGAGGAGAATAGTGAGAATTGTGGCAAACTGTAACAGACCCAAGGTAAGGGAATGCAGCTTCTGGTTAAAAGTGGAATTGTTAGCTGGGTTAAGGCCCAGCTTTAACGATTGGTGTGTGTATTTTGGTCTTAATGATGAGAGTTACAACTGTGCTTTGGAACAAAAGTTTGTTTTCAGTTCAGCAACACTTGTGTTGGTCTCTTATCCTATAAAGCTGTCTGTTTGGAAATGAAGATTCAACAGTACCTGAAAGGTGTCTGTGCTCAGCATCCAAGACCTGAAATGATTTGTTTGATAGTTTTGCTGCTAAAGGAAACTATAAAAAAATTAAAAGCTAGGAAAAAAAGAAAACCAAACCAAATCAGCTAATATGATAAAAAGTCAGTGAGATGACTTACTTTAATAACCATTTAGTATTGGTAAGTAAACAAGTTAGTGGTTTTATTTAAATTTTACCTTCAGAAGTCATTTGGAAAGCAAATATTTCTCTGATAATGGTGCTAATTGCTCACCTCTTTTTATTGTTGGAAAGAAACACAGTTTTGAAAGTGCTGGAACTGTGGTGTTGGGCAAAATTATACTGGTGGTACAGAGGAGTGGTCTAAAGATTCAAACCTGCCATTTCTGAATATCTAAAGCTAAATCTGCTGCACTCACCCTGGATGAGGAGTCATGTGGAGGGCCTGGATGATGTAGTAAATGCAGAATAAGATAATGGACAGAAGTTACAGATGCAAGAAAACTTAAATCTGCAGAATAGAAGCATAGAATCATTTAGGTTGGAAGAGACCTCTAAGATCATTCAGTCCAACTGTTAACCCGGCACTGACAAACCCACCACTACCCCATGTCCCTCAGCACCACGTCTGCTGGCTTTGAAATTCCTCCAGGGATGGTGACTCCACCACTGCCCTGGGCAGCCTCTTTCAAGGCTTGACAACCCTTTGGGCGGAGAAATTGTTCCTAATATCCATCCTAAACCTCCCCTGGCACAACTTGAGGCTGTTTGCTCTTGCCCATCGTCTGTTCCTTGGGAGAGGAGACTGATCCCCCTGGCTACACCCTCCTTTCAGGTTGCACACAGAGTAATTCAACTGGTACAGATTGTAATGTTTCCTGTAGTGTTATCAGTGACTTGGGTTAGGTATTGGTGAAATAGGCATTACTGTGGGGAAAAGTTGGTAAGATTTTATCAGACAAAAAGTATGGGGACCATGTGCATACAATCCTTTTTAATCTTTTAATCATAGTTTCAGATGATGTGCGTGCAAGTGCACCACTGGAATAAGTTACTTGAAGAGATGCCAAACCTCAATTTGACCGTTTTTCATTCTGAATTCAGTACCAGATTTTGCTGCGTGGATGTTGGTATGAAGTATTTGGAGGAGATCCAGATAACTTCCCCACAGAGCTGGATGGTAGAAGCCAAGATGCCCTCACCCAGCCCCTCCTCGCTGAGGAGAGTTTAATGGTTCATCGTTCACCTTCATACAATGCCCTTGAGGATGAGTCACACTTAAATTCACCACCCCAGTATCCTCACCTGTATCTTCCTGGAAAGATTATCCATATTGTAGAAGAATCCAGCTCTAGGAGGTAAGTAGGAGCATGAATACCACTGTCTTCCTTTCCTAAAAGCTACTTAAAGTTGCTTCTTGCTTTCAAAGGACGCGTTTCCAGCTCTGCTTCTGAAACAGAAGTCAGAGCATCTGTAACTTGCACGAGACCATCTTACAGAAGGAAAAAAAGTCTGTACATTACAGAAGAGGGGAGAAAAGGGCTGGAGAGGAAGTCCACTTCTTTTCCTCCCAGTCAGTAGATTAGTATTTTATTTAAGCATCACATCTTTAATGTTTAACAATTTAATACTGATTTTACAAGTTAGCTACTTTAACACCTGTAACCTGGCAGGTTTTCTCAATGGCTGCTCTTCTTCTTTACTTTGTTGAGTTCATGTCTCTTCCCTCATTTACTCCACAGCACAGCAGTTAATCATGTGGGGTATCTTTTCTTAATTGGACTAGTGCACAGAGCCCCCATCACCTACCCTGAATCCCTCACAGGTGCAGCACCACATCTCGTGTCAGTCTCCTGCTGCTGCGACTGTGACATGGGGCCTGAATGTGACACTAATGGTGTGACTGGGCCCTGCTGGCCCACGCAGCCTGCGGTCCCTCTCTCTGAGCAGGATTAGTTGGTGGCTTCTCTCACTGTGACGGGGCAGGGTCATTTGCTGTAGTTTTGCCTTCAGGGACAGGGAAAGGTGGCATTTCCAGCTGTTCCTGAAGGTCAGAACTGTTGCTCTCTGGGAGCCGCCATCCAGCCCTGAGCGAGGGCAGAGAGCTCCGGGCCATTCCAGCCTTGGCTTTGGGCACCAGTTCTGCTGCCTCAGCCCTTGTATTTGTGGTGTGTTTGTGTTTTTTAGGTTGTGCTCTTCAGATATTAAATATACGGCAAGATGGTCAAATGAAACTGTCTTCAGCAGCATTTTGATAAGTCCCAAGATGATTACAGACCACATGCCAGATGTTGTGCTCAAAGCTCTGCACAGTCTGTCTCAGGAACAGGGATCGTGTATTTCTTGTCAAACACGGGACTATCACACCAACGTGGTCTAACCGCAGCTGGACGAGGAGGTATGGGGGTGGTGTTTTTTTAATTGCAGGTTTCAAGTATTCAGGACCCATTCCACTTTCATACCTGCGTGGATTTCAGTACTTTCCTCACACTGCATAAACTAAACAAGGGTCCTGATGCCCTTGTCTTGGCAGCGACCTTGTGATGGTGTGCTGGTTAAAGCACAGTCTGCCTTTATGCTGAAGGTTGCACTTTTACAAAAAATGGCAGCGTTTGACAAGTTGTAGCTGATTCTGTGGGGCTGGCACAGGAGTCATGGTGGCAGCCGAGTAAGTGACCAAAGGGAGCAGGCGAGGACAGCGTGGACCTGCCCGACCTCAGACAGTAAAATCTGTGTTTGCTTCAGTCACTTCACCCCATTGTCTGGGCGCCCCGTGAGCGAGCTGTGCCCAGAGGGAGGGGGTACCTGAGCAGGCCCCGGCCACGAGAATCTCTGAGTGATTCATTGATTGCACTATTTTTCTTACAGCCTGTGGTAGTTACCAGGGGAGGGAGGGTGTTGTGGTTAAATGCTGCTTAGATATACATGTGCAATATTCTTTAATCTACCTGTCTTTTGTATTTGTTGATCCACATGACTACTTTTATTGATTTTAACCTAAACTAATACTATAAGTACTTAATGAGAAGAAAAAAAAAAAAAAAAGTTGTTCATGCCTTGGCTTTACATGAGTCCCCAACTCCGACCACTGAGAACACTGATCCAGTTCTGCCAAAAAAGTATATAACCAGTTGTACTGATTTTAAAAAAGTGGAGTCCATGGTTCTAGTGTGCAACTATTTTAACTTTTTTTTTTTTTAAGGCTCAGCAGCAGTTCTTATTAAAAAAAAAAAAAAAATGATAGAAATAAGTAAAAGTAGTAACTGTGTGGGCGTTCTTGCTGTGATACTTAATATGGAAACAAAATAAAGTGCAGTGTAAACAGCTGCCTCGCTCTGTTCAGGTCTGATGGTGCCAGACAAAAGCTCTGGCTTTAGCTGTTTGGGCGCTCGCTGCCAGGCAGAGGGTCAGTCAGCCCCCATGGCCCCACAGGGGATCCACCTGGCACCGGCAGCTGCAGGGCCTGCTCCTGGGGCTGCTCCTGGGGGTACCGGGGTCCCCAAGGCTCCCGGGGCACAGAGGCAGGCACAGACCTGTCTGCCCTTCCCTGCAGCCAGGGGAATGAACCAGGGCAGGGCAGGGACCCGCTGCGGCAGAAGAAGGGGAAGACTTTGCCCAGGAACTCAAACAGCACCACACGTGTGATTCCAGGATTTATTAAGTAATACATGCAAAACATACTGCTAATTGCATTAGCAAAAGATCAATGTAAAAACTTCACAATTTTGCAACTTTTATTTTTAAGTTTTGCTTTAGTGGTTGAAAGGGTGTAGTTGAACATTGTGTTCCTGCCAGGCAAGGATGTACAGAACATTAGCACTAATTTACAGACCTCACAGACCCCAGTGACCGTGACTCCATCTATGCTGCACACGTACAGGCAGTGACACCGAGAACACACTCCGCGTTAGTGACGTTACAGCGTGGGGAGATCTGGCAGAGAGTGACAGTTGAGAAGATCCATAGTTTATAGAGGTTTAAAATATAAAAATGACTAAAACATGTAAAGCTGCTCCACATGATTTTTACATCTAGTTAATAGACTAAAAGCCCCTCAGAAAGCATGTAACTTACTGGGTCAGAAATAACAGGAAAAGGAGGAAGATGTGCTTGAACGTTCTACTCTACAAACAGAAAAGAAAAAAAGAGCAAATTTCTACCATCAGAAAGGATTTAAAATACAAGATATATTTCTCAGTAAAAAGAGATTCTACAAGAAAAGCATTTACTACACAGCAGTTGTGGGAATGATGGGTTGGGAATTGTACCTAAAGGAATGCCCTACTTGAAATTCCAGGGAATTCACCTGTGAACAGCAACCTCTTCCCCTCCACACCTCTGGAAAATGGTCCCTGGTTCTAACCTGCACTACAGTCAGTTCAGCCTCACAACTCTGGCAGCACGGTGTAGCTCATCCCTAGTGTCCCAATACTGTCTGGCACTATCATCTGTCCATCACAACACAGTGCTGTCAGAAGGACTAGATACACTTCAGTAAGAATAGTTTTATTTATTTTTTAAATCACAGCAGCAAGAACTAGATTGCAACCAAGCCCTTACCAACGATAAAGCATTTTACACTGTGACTCGAGGGTGTCAGTCATTGTCAAAAGTTTAGGTTCCACACATGACACAGCGCAATGACTGTAGGTTGAGAAACATTTAATAATAAAACACATTAGAGTGCAGTGTTTTGCTAATTATACGGTACTGTTACTTACTGTGAAAAACTAGAAAGTGTTTTTGCATTTCCTACCAGAAATTAGAGTCATCTTCAAGAAGAATCTTTAAAAAACAGTTTAGTGCTTAGTGTTCGTAGCACAACAACGCAACTTAGTTCAGCAGATCGTTTGGCAACACTTAATTGAGCAAGAACAGGATTTTAAAAATAAGGCTTTACATAGGTTTGTCTTTTCAGGAGTTTGCTTTTAGAAGAATGCAAAGTAACTTTTATACTTCAAACAAATGAAACCGTGAAATCATTGATCGGTTCAAGGATTTATGGAAGAGACCTAATTGAGAACAGAAAAACTTGGCATGGAGTGTGAACGCTCCATTGTTCCGACAAAACCTGGGCTGGGGGAGGGAAGCAATTACAGCAGGAGACATTTTCTCTTCCTCTTCTTTACGGGAGGGGGACACAGAACTGCTCGAATCGCTTCATCAAACACTGTCTTGAGGCCCCGCTGCGTAAGTGCTGAGCATTCCAGGTATTTCACTGCACCTGGGGAGAGAAAAAAAGCCAATCACAAAGCCGCTTTCCACAATTCCAGCAGCTTCTAGCCAACTCCACAACAAAAGCCAGGCGTTTATTTCAATTAATATACAACATCTTCCACAAATAAAGTTTAGATGAAGCCCACAATAAGCCTGTTGCTGTCATACCAATCTCCTTTGCCATGGCCAGGCCCTGGGGATAGGTGATGGGAGTCAGTTTCTTCTCCTTCAGTTTTTCAATAGTGTCCTTATCATCCCGGAGATCCAGCTTGGTCCCCACTAGAATGATGGGGGTGTTGGGGCAGTGGTGCCGCACCTCAGGGTACCACTGAAAGAGAGAGCACAGGTTGGGGGGGGATTTCCACAACAGAAACAAATGTTATGGCTAAAAGGCTCCCAGTCCTTCTCCAAAGTCATTCCAAGAGTGAAGGGGAATGTGTAAGACCCCACCGAGGCAGTATTAGAAAAGAACATGCAATTGCAAAACATTTAATGAAGCCAATGGGTGTTTATTTCTGTACGGTTTAAACATTCACCCTCTTAAGGGCTGTATTTTCTCCACACACCAGAACAGCCCAGATCTGCTCTCCCAGCTCTCCCCAGCACAGGCTGCCCAGGCCACGCAGCTGAGCTGGCCAAGGACGTGCTAGAACAGTGGCTGATGCAAGAAACCAGTGGTATCGACCCAATTTTTACATGCCTTCGGTTTTTTAATATTTTTCTTTATATTGCATTAAAAGGGAAGTTCCCGTTTGTGGTCTCACTCAAACTACTGTTATCCTACCAATGCATCAAGGAACAATTTATATTTAGAGTGTTTCACATGCCCTTAACTTCCATGACTTCTAAGGTAGGCAAACAGATTTCTGCCTTTTCAAACTACATTTCACACTGCCTGCCAAAAAAAACCCTTAAAAATAATAAATATTTTCCAACCACTGCTGTAAAGTGAACACTACACTGAACACTTCAAATGATCCTGGCTTGTACTTACCTTAGCACGGACGTTTTCAAAGGAGGCAGGGCTCACAAGGGAAAAGCAGATTAAGAAGACATCCTACAAAGCAAGGTGACAAAGTTAGCCACGCAGAGCGCCCGCTGAAGTCTCCCGAGGAGGCCGGTCGGTGTCACCAGCCCCTGCATCACATCCTCTGTGCCAGCAGCCAGGACAGCAGCACCGGAGGTGACAGAGAGACGTCCCGTGGGAGACGTTCCCAGACAGACAGACAGACAGACAGACAGACAGACAGACAGACAGACAGACAGACAGACAGACAGACAGACAGACAGACAGACAGACAGACAGACAGACAGACAGACAGACAGACAGACAGACAGACAGACAGCGGGGGGACCCCCGCAGGGACTGCAGTCCCGGCTGCCATCAGCTGTCACAGCAGCCAGCAACTAACACACCAAGACTGTTGCATTCAAGCTGTTTTCCCCTAAACATTATTTCTTCTCCCTCACTGACAGTCAGGTAAAACAACCCCAAGCACTTCAGATCTGACAAACCCGAGGACTCAGACCGGCTTCTGAACCGGGGTTCAGCCCCCCAGATGATTTAGGCCTTCAAGGATGTGACTCAGCAGCACGGGATGTTGCAAAGCATTAACCCTTGGCACTAATTTTTAAAATATGAACACACCACTCTAAAGTAGTCTTAAATTGCAAAGTGTACAGTATGGAATGACAAAATTAGACAATTTCTACAATTATTACTTCCATGCCCAAATCAGTAGAATCTTGTAGAACTGTCACTTCTACTAAGTGCCAGTATTAAAGATTTCAGAATTTCTCTATAACCAAATTAGGACTGAGAAGGGCATTAGACCCTCAAAGCTCCCTCCTTCCCTTTCTAAATAATGAGAAAGCAGAGAAAAAAGGTGGGTGTTTTTAGGGATCTTGCACATCTTGCTTTTCAACTGGAAGCGAAAGACGACTGTAAGTAAGAGTAGGCAAAACCATTTCAGAGCCCACGTTTACACCAACTGCTGTGCAGGACACACTTCAAAAAAACCAACAGGCTCCACACGTGGCGCTGAAGCTACAAGCATTCAGGATAACCACATCTTCTCTAAGATGAAGACTGTGATCCTGTAAACCCGAAACTCAATCAGCATCTCTTAAACAAGCCCAACTTTCCCCAACCTACCTCTGCATCCAAACTTATCCACTACCAAATCTGCTAAAGAATCAGGCATTTCAGAGTGTTAGTTGATTGTGCTGCATTTCAAGGCATTTTGTTAGGTCAGCAGCCGACTGCACTAAGCGCTCGCAGCCCAGTCCTTCATGCATCACCCCAACGAGTTTCCGTAGCAGCGTCCCAGGAGAAAAAAGAAACAACATCAAATAACGTGATACTATGGCCACTACTTCTGATGTCCAATTCTGCAGGTTTGTGGTGACTGAAGCTCTGCACATTGAGCAGACTTTCTCTTTTACTAGCTCCAGAGATCAAAAAATTCGGTGTAACCATGAGGAATTATTTGAAGGTCTCAGGTGTCTTGCACACTACCAATCTTAGTAAGTAGGAGGAAAAGCTATTTATTTGCAGAAAAAAGATATTTACTCTTAGCAACTCATATAAAGAGATTTGGTAACAGAGTTCTCAGATCTAACAATTTGATAGTTCCAAGAAAAGTAGTTGTTTAAAAAAATAGGGGCCAATTTATCACTCTCATAAGCAAGACAAGATGACAGAACTTGGAACTGAAGTTTATTTAAAGTTTTACATACGGCAATAGGTTGATCTGTCAGACTGGAAGATATATTCTTACCATTGGTTCCTCCAACCTAATAACAGCAGGAGATAAAGTTACACCTCAAATGGATTTCAGGGAGAATGTTCTCAGTCAGCGACCTGTGCTCACAATATTCACAAGGCAGCTTTTCTTCCTAGAGAGACCCTGCCCTGGAATTCAGCACAACCAACCACCTGCACCCAGAACAGGCCACCAGACTGCCCCGAACTCCTGTAAGCCCCTCTGCACTGGCACTGTAACAAGAGCAAAACCTCTCATGAAAAGCATCCTTCTAAATTAACTGTCTTCTTGCTTTGGTCTCCTGAGGAGACACAGTTAACTACCTTTTCTGTCCCAAGTTCTTCCTTCCCTAAACATTTTGAAATGCTGGTAGATTTCAAATACATTCAGCAGAAGGTACTGAATTCCTGCATATTTTAAGGAAAAAAAAAAAAGATTAATAAAGGGAAAGGTACAAATTAATCCTCCACTATGTCAAAGTCCTTGCTGTGAAGTTATGAGCTGGAGAACTGCTGGGTGGCTCACTGAGATACAGCCACTGGGCAGTGATCAGCCAGCCCTGCCCTCTCCTGGCCCCGCAGGAGGGAGTTTTAAACAGCTCGGGGAGGACAGGGGGGCAGAATGCAGAGCATGAAAAGAGTCAGGCTTCATCAGCTTCACTGTTCTCTTCCTCTGTGCCTTTAGTGTCATGGGGGCTTCTGTCCCTTAAGTGATGAATAAACTCACGTATTGCACAAGTCTGAAATCTGGGACTGCTTCATAAGAACTTCAAGACTTAACACTGATTTATTTTCTGCTGTAAAAAAATCCAAATAACTGAAAATACTTGAAACCTTTACTTCACAGTTAGAGGTGCTTGTATGGGGGAATTTTTCCCCACAAGTATGCTTAGATTGTCACGGAACTCTTTTGCAGCCTGCTGAAATAACTGTGGCTTTCTGACAGGCTGAGGACATGCCCCAGCATTGTGTCCCTCCATCACAGGGGAGGAACAACATTCTGCCTTACAACTCTGCTTTCTCACACTATTGAGTGATATTTCAAAATGCCTTTTTGAAAATATTTTTACAATGTTAAGCAAAGCTCAAGTTCTAAATATACTATAAATATCTAAGTATTGGAGAAAAACAGCTTTCCATTGTGTCTCTTCCTAGGAAAGGCAGGTAGCTGGCACTTCTGATAGAGTTGCCTACAACCGGCAAGTTCCTGTTCACTGTGGGCATTGTAACTGGTGGGAAAGCACAATCCTAGGAGTTAGTGAGCAGCAAATTAAGGAAAACCGTGAATTAAGATGGCTTACTAAAAAAAGCAGAGTTCATTAAATAAGCTTCACATTACTCAGGAGAGCAGTTATACTGTAGAATAACTGGAACAATTTTGCATTTTACATTATTAGCATTGACTCTCTATTTGATAGTTAACAACAGTAATCAACGCAATAAAAACCCCTGCAAATTACCACCTTTTTTTACTTACCAGCACTGCTCCACCAGGCAACAGTAACTCCTCTAAAGAGACTAGAGAACCTGTCTCTACAAGGATTAGCTGTCCCTGAAGCCACACTGGAAAGAGCAGGGCAGATTCTGCCTGTACGGACAGCGCTGGAGTAAAGACGCAGCGTGCGGGCAGGACTCAGCCCGTGCCAGCGTGGGAGACAGAGCACATCTGTGTTGATGTTACAGCACGAACCACAGCAAGTAATAAAACAGCCACAGGCTTAAGTACATTTGAAAGCTCCGAGGCAGCCTGTCAACACCAGGAACATCTTCATCGAGTGCTGCCTCTCTCACATTAGAGCATCTTCACAGAGACTGAACAGCACCAAGTGCTCAGCAGTGACAGGGCCAGGCTGCAGCCAAAGGCCCCCCTAAAACCAACCCTCTGCTCTTGGCAGCCGTGCTAACCCCGACGTGGATGGACTGGCTCACCCAGGGGGGTGGCTTTCTGTGTGGATTTGTTTGCTTTTCTTGTTATAAACCAAGCATTCCAGCTGATTCTGACACTGCAACTCCACAAAAGCCAACAAGTATCAATGCATGCAAATACACAGGCACACACAGTTTAACAGTTGTACAACTGTACACACATCACAGGATGTGGAAGGATGAAGGCAGCTTGCAACAAGTCACTGTCACTAAGAAATGTAACTCCAGATGTGACAGTGTTGGCCTTGTGTTCAGTAAAAAACCTTTACGTTAGACAAAGCTGTATAGATTCTTTCTAGTTTCCCACTATAGTTCTTACTGTTTGCGGATAGGAGAGCGGACGTAGTCTGTCGTAGTCCTCTTGACCAGCTGTATCCCACAAACCCAGATTCACCGGTTTTCCATCGACCATTACATTAGCAGAGTAGTTATCAAAACTGGAAAACAAAGACAGTTAGCTGCATTAGCTTGCAGTGAGATAGGACACCCAAGAACTTTTTCCTACAGAGTCCTAATTGGGAACACTACAAAAGGAAACATTTTCATTACATCCTCCTCAGAAACAATAGAGTAAGCCTTTAAATACTGAGCCTGGTTTTGGGTAATGTAAGGAAAAAAAAAACCACAACAGACTTGGTCCAGTCTGAACAAAAGTTGTCTTTTTCATTGCTCTTCCAAAGGTAGCATTTATGGCAGTAAGAACAGGAAAGCAGGAGAGGCACTTGGCAAGCACCTTCCAGCCTTAGTGGGACATCCAACAAGTAACTTTGTAAGATTTAGAATAGAAGATACATGAGCAACAACCAAGGAATCCTTAATGATGACAGTAGGTAAGAAAAAAAACTTAATCCTGCTAATCAAAAACCCCTCCAATGAAATATCAAAGCAGGGGCCAGCAGAGGCATAACTTTTATCTCATCACTACTGTAGGTGCAAAGGTTCCAATTACTTGTTAAGGCTAAACTAAGTTCACTGGGAACACAAGCATACTGTAATGCAAAAATCTGAATTTAAGACCAAAATCAGGAAATGGGAGTAATTAAGACAACAAGGCCTTGGAAGGGTTAATGAAATTAATCTGTAAATCTCATTAGAATGTGTTTTGTTGTCTGAAAAACTTGTCAATACTTAGAGAGCAAAACAGCCAGACAGACATCTGAGAAGAGCAAAACAGCTGCTCACGTATAAGACACCTCCCTGCAACCAGCCCTCAAAAAGAGAACTGCAGTAATACTGATACCGACAAATCCTGACATGCAAGGAAATGGGAAGCACCAAAATAAACGAGTCCCCACAAAAATCTTGCCCAAGGAGCTTGAGAGCTGTGCCTGTCTTCACACAGGATTGGCAAGAGCACAAAAAATAGAAAGAACAAATGAAAAAAAAAATCTCTAGCCACACAAACCAACCATTTCTGACTATGATATGATGTTTTCCAAGCTGTTCAGCCTTGGGACTGCTTGTTATGAATGATATTAAAGATAGAAACACCACATTATTTTAGAAGAGAACAGCATCTGATGGAGTGACAGTAAATGTTAGTCCCCTAGGAGAGGGCAGTGAGGGGCAAAGCGCTGCCTGACCGTGCAGAGCAGGGAAAGCCCAAAGGGCTTCTCCCTACACACACCCCGACACTCCAGTGGGTCCGACAGAGCCCATGGTGCCCGCAGCCAATTCCAACAACTCGGGTAAGGAGCTGGAATGGCAGCGAGCACAGACAGGTCAACAAAAATCAGTTCTTTGGGTTCCACAAGTACTTACACGGTGGGTATATATTCTCCAGGAAACGCATTGGTGGTGTAACTGATGAGTAGGCATGTTTTACCCACAGCACTGCAAAAAGAGGAAGTTCACATGTAAAACACATTCATCTTGAATAATGAGAAATAATATTGCTTTTATGGAAGACTGATTACATCCAGTTATCCAAGGAACAACTGGGTGCCAGTAGTCAGTGGAGTACACAAACATCTAACAGCCTGGAGCCTTAAGATTACTAGCAATAAAGACACACTTCTTAATATAAACATCCATTTTGTGAAGCAGTAAATTACCAGATTTTGTTACTCTTTTGACAAAACAAACCCACAAGTATTAATAAGAGCACTAACATCTGCTAGTCACCTGACTGAATACTCATCAAGACTGCCTTGCTCCAACTCCTTGAAATTAAAAAATCTGAGAAGTATTTCCAGATGCCCTTTGCACAATTCCAAAACTGTTTTTTTCCAGAGAATGGGATACTGTTGCATAAAGTTTGAAAAAGCTTGCAAAGGTTTAATTTCTCGTCACATTGCTACTTTTCAGTATTTGAGGAACAAATGCAGATGATAATCCTCACAAAATTTACTGCTATTGCAAAATAACTCCCTGCATGCATTCATGAACTATTCAAACAGTCCATAAACCAATTTATAGATAAATTATGTTCCAGTAGTGGAGAACTCACAGCACTGAACCTTTCCCCACTGATCTAATTCTGCACAGCCCAGACCAGGCAGGATGAGGTTCTGTCCCACACTGCTTCCACAGCTCTGGCAGCCAGCTGCTTCCACGGCCGCCACCTCCTCCCCACCTCTGATCCATGGCCAAACCTTACACTAACAACACCATGCAATTCTTGTTGCAGTTTCAATTAAAGGGTTGAAAAACTTGAAATTGGAAAACTTGAAAGTACCAGTCTCTGTAGAGCTTGTTTCTGACACTGCAGACTGGTTCCCATGCTTGCTCCTCACTTGAGGTGCAGAACCATTGACCCGAGAGTTTCCAGAGCCCAGTGCGCAGCCGGCTCCGCGCAGGCGGCAGGGCCCAGGTGCCCACAGCCGTCCCCACCACCCTTCTCCCAGCCGAGGAACACTGCACTGCCAGGCACGTGTTATCACCGCAACGATTCGCTCAGAGCAAGTCAGCAGTAACTGTGAAACCTTACTGCACACTTAAAATCTTGTCATTAGTATTATGTTTGATTGATGAACCTCCTCTTCCACAAACTGAAGGAATTCATTGAAGTTTTAGTCTAGAATTACAGTTAATATTAAAAACAAACAAACAAACCAAACCCAACCCAAGAACCAAATGCTATTGCTAAAAATATCCTATTATTCTTCAGCTTCCGCTGAAGAAATAACTCACAGAAACAAGCTTTAGTCAAGAACTCACTAGCTTTCCAGCTGGAAACATTTTGAGGGATTCCCATCTGAATTTTACTATGTATCTTCCACTTAAATCATTTTATTTCTTCTCTTGGTTTAGAAGCATGAGGACTGTCCCTTCACTTACCAAAGACCATCTTCAAAATATTATTTAAAATGATTCAACATGAGTGAATCAGCCAGCCTCACCTAGTGACTCCCAATTTAAGGCAGGTTAAGTGAATTTGGCACAACTGTAAGTTAACACGGACCTTGTAGCTCAATCTGTAACAAGTCTCTCCATTAAACTTTAAGCAGTTCCACAGTGCATTAGCCCAAGAAATTATCTGTATGCAGCATCTGACAATGTTAATTTAAGTATCTGAACTATGGAAGAGTTGCTTCCATGTGCAAAGGAACTGGATTTTATTCTACGTACCCATTTCTCAAGTGTAATTGTTATGTTTCTGAGCTGACACCTAGCACAGCATCCCCTCTGCTGCAACTCTCTGATCAGACCATGCATTTTTCCACACTACTTTTCTCACCTGCTTCTAAGGGAACAAGATGCCAGCTCCTTGCACAGCCTGAGACTTACCCACACTCTCTTTACCAGGCAACAACAACAGAGACATTTCATTCCATTTTTGATAAGTACAATCTCTGAATATTCTCCTGCAGCAACAGGCTTGAGATATACTTGTGCTCAGGAGCAGAGAGGGATTTACCACCCCAAACCGTCTGTGGGAAGGAGCCGGGGAGCGGTATGACACACAGCTTCGCTGAGTGAGCGGCTGTCAGAGGAGATCCCACCTCACCCCTTGCACTCACCAGCTGTAACACAAGGAACGGAGTTCAGGAGAGCTGCTCACCCACCTCCCCATCAGCACAACCTGCTATTTCAGCTCCCCGAGCTATCGATTCCATCAGTGTGAATCTATTACCAAATTGCACTCGCACCACTACAGAGCAGGCAACGCCTGCCCAGCTTACAAAGGACAAAGGTGAAAGCCTTCAAAATACCGAGAGGAGCAAAACCCAGCTTCTTTGGGAAACTTCTTGAGGTGCAGAGGCTATATATTCTCACGCTTCTACAGCCTGATGCTTCATTTTCCAGTAAATTCATTGCAGGTAATTCAAGCTTCTAACAAATTAATGCTGAACTCCACATTTTCAGCAGTGGATGAAGAGCCTTCCTCTGCACCCAGGCTCCTTCACTCATCTTGCACTGGAACTGGTGAGCCTGCTCTGGCTAATCAAAGCTGCACAGGAAGGAGGTGGTGAGATTTCATTCCAAGCTCAGAAGAGCCTGTCGAGTGTTTCTGCAGCGCCAATCAGCCTGAGTCATTTCAACAAGAAAAAACACGTTCAACAGCCCTGCTTCAGACTCGCTCCATCTAGGTTTCCTCCTTTCCTTGCCTTTTGGCTCTCTGCCCTACGAATCAGATCATTATGGTCACCAGTCTTAAAAATAAACACTAATGCCCACCTTTATAAATAAAGTACATCTTCTAAGTTCTTGATGAACTTTTTTAGACTGCTAACTTCTGTATTAAAGCAACTCCCCTAAAGAGAATTCCAGCTGTTTGGCAAAATGTAAATCCCTGTACATAAAGGCTGAGACTAAGAAACTAAAATAACACCAAACCAAGATTAGTCATAACAAGATTTCTAGCAACTACTTAATCATAGCTCTGTTCACACACTATTACATAAATGAAACTAGTAACATTTGACTGTAATTAAAAATATGGCCTACAGAAATCTAGCATTTTAACCACTAAACAGTAAGTGAAAGACTTACAAAAGACAGCATCGAATGCCTTATTGCTTCCGGGTACATCCAGGAATCAATGTATTTATATAACCACATTAAATTTTGAAAACAAAACATGTCATCTCTTTCCTGGCCTTATTTACACTAACAAGTTTTATGAAGTTTCCTCACTATGTTAAGAGCTGCTCGGAGCCATGTTACATGACATCCACTGAAAATGCTGCTGGAGGACCTGCCCCAGCACTTTTTCCCCACTAAAGGCACCCACTGGAGCTGCACAGCTGGTTGAGAGTCTCCTGCTTCCCCACAACTGAACTGTGAGAATTTAGTTCTCACCTGCAGCCACAGTAACGGGACCAGCTGAAACACTTGCTGGTTTAATTCCAGAAACACTGAAACCTGCAAACAGGCAGCAGCCTTCACACACAGCTTTGGTTACGTGACCCACCTGAACCACCTCCCCAGCAGAGCTGATGCACAACAGCCAGGTCTTCACCTGGGCTGTGAACAGCAGCCCAGATTTCTGTAGTACCATCCTCAGAGCAAAAGTTCAGCATTTTCTCTGTAGCAGTTTAGTTACGTAGGGCTCTGCCAGATAAGCTGTTTTACTCGCTGTGACACACCCTCTCACGACTATGCTGCTCGGTACCTACAATACTACCACCTTTTTTTAAAACCTTACAAATTCAGACTAAGTTTCAAGTCACTGCTCTCTCTATAGATTGTGCTGAAGAGACCTGAGGTGTTCAGCACCTTCCACAAACACTGCACTACCCCCTCCCCGGGAAGCAATCAAACCAAACCCGGCACCGCTTCCGCAGATACGGTCTCAAATCAAGCAGGATTCCAAACAGGGACTCTGAATTCAGTTCTCTGAATTTTGTTCTTACAGTATTTCTACAATTAAAAAAATGCCTAGGGAAGAGCATGAAGTTTTACCATCTCTGTGGCACCTAGTAATCATTTCTGCAGAATGCAGAACTCCCCCTAACACTACAGGGCATCACTGGAGATTTCATACCACTTAACAGCTGCCTCTTTAGAGTGAAAACAAAAGCTGCTAAAAATAACCCACACCAATGCCTTTTCTCAAGTGTCGATCAGCAGCAGCTCCTGCAGTTCCTCGAGTGGAGGGCTCTTCATCTGTCCTGCACATTCCTGCTCTCTAGAGCATCAAGAAGTCAAAGCAACAGTTGCCACCTACTTTTCCCCAAACAATCCTCACAGTGAAAAAAAAAATCCACAAAAACCCCCCGCAAAACCAAGGGCAAAATATGCTAGCACAACTAGCACACATGCCATGGTTTTCTAGTCAAATTCATTATCTGAACAGCTACTAGTCAAAACTCTAAGAACAAACAAACATGAGTTAGGTATGAGAAACAGCCTATGCACTTACAAATTAAAAAAAAATAAATAATCTCACAGCTACTTCTACAGCTGTGTTTATTTTGTTCCTAGCAGATCTTTGTGGAGGGTACATATAACAATGCCTAAGTTCTATATTACACAAGCAAATCTTTAACTTGCATTGTTTTACAGAACCACTAAAGCTTTAGCCTTATCTAAGCCAAACATTTTATGTTTCCTAGAATACCTGTAACACTAGGACTTTTGAAGCAGCAGCAGCAGCAGCAGAGAAAAACAAGTAGGTATTTTTTAAAAACACTGAAGGGAGAATGATACAAAACTACCAAAAATGAGCAACAGTAGCTGAATGGAACCTTAAGAGAGATTTGTTTCCAACTAAGGAGGAAGGAGAACTAATTAAACTACTGAGTTTTGTCCACACATATGTACAAAACTGAGGTAGAACTACACCACTTTTACTTCCAAGGCAAAGAGCAATAAACATGTTCAGTAGTGGGGCGGTTTTCAAAGCAAACGAGGAAAACAACTGTCGTTGAATGAATTACTGAACATGACACAGTTTGTGCTGAGTTCTCAAATCCAGTGGAGGAAGTGAAGTTTTTTCCCCACCCAACATGATGCATCACATTTATTTACAGCATTGTCTCACACAACACAGTTCAGTTCAATTTTCAAAAGTTACATAATTGAAAAGCAATTTTTTGGTTTTAAAAATCAATATAACTGAAAGAACAGTCCATAGTTATCCTATCTAGCATCAAGAAACTACATTACTGTGAAGTCTTAATTTGTCAGGAAACCACGTTCAAGCTCATATTGTTCAAAATCTTATGCAGCAAGCCAAAACGAGTTTGTCACACAGAGTAAATTTCTCTCTCAACCACACTTAGCTGCCTTTTTGGGGATTCTACCTCCTAAAAAACAAAACAACAAACCACACACACAAGTAACTTGAAGATTAAGGCACCACGTGAAATTACAGACAGTGGAAAGACCATTTAGATACACTTCACTCCTCTGTCATCTACAGAGATTTGCTCTGATACCAATTATGCTCAGCCTACACTGGGATTTTTGTTTCTCCTAAGGAAAAAAAAACCCTCCCCAACTGCATAAGACAAGTCTTGTTCTCCAGCTGCTGCGATGCTCCCCTGAGCTCCAACACCCGGGGGGATGAACGCCCTGAGCTGATGAAAGACCATCATGGAGAACGATCAGAAGTCTCAAACACAAACTTTTTCCCCACCACAGTTCCAGCACTCCTCACGCCGAAACCCAACAGGTAAACTTAAGAGTTAACTCCATTCTAAAAAGCATGATCAAGTTGTTTCACTTATGAGTAATGCCCTATTAGAATGCTGTAGGTGGAACAGTTCTTTACAGACAGGGATATCGTTAATTATTTGTATTTCGAGTGGTTTATCAGTCCCTTTAGGCAGCAGCCTCACAAGACCAGATGTATGCATGCAGAAAATAGCCCTTGCTCACAAGCCTTTACCATCTGCTTAGAGTTTAGCACATTTCACTTCGTTTTACCGCAAGAATCAGGTGTCAAAAATCAAGCTATAACCAGTAATAAGTCTATTACTGTCACAAAAAGGTACTTTAAAGCAATAATACATTTCTCTATCATTAAAAGCACAGTAATTTTTAATAGACTTTGCTCTCCTCGGTGTGCCGGGTGACACCACGGCGCCGGACGGGCCCGGCACCCCCCCGTCCCGGACGGACAGAGGGCTCCAGGCGGGCAGGGCCGCCCCCGGACGGACGGAGAGACCGCTCCCGCTCCGCGCCGGGCGGGCAGGGCCGCTCCCGGCCGCCAGCCACCCCCCGCCGCCGCCCTTCCCC